TTTCATGTTGATCGAAGGAAGGCTTAGGAACAAATCGGCCTAGCAAAGAAAAAGGCTCCTAAACGCCGACCAAATGAAAACAAAACGGCAACGAACGGGGCAGAAAAGCACGAAAGGGCGGCCCAAGAGCGCCCCGGCCTTTTCAGGTTGTGCCCCTTCTACCCTGACGCGCGCGCCCTCGTTCCGTGTGCCAATTGGCGGCCTTCGGTGGCACCAGCGGGAGCAGCGCGAATTTCCATGCGCGGCTGTGCGCGCATGCCTTCTGGGCTGTCCGGCCACCGGCGTGCTGCTTAGCGACTATCGCGAGGACTATTTTGCGACAAGCACCCTCAAAGCAGACGCGCCGCTTTTTGACAGACGCGCAGGCTCCGTAGCGGTGCCGAGGGGAAGTCGTGCGAATGTCGGACCAAGCATTGCGGCCCTCTGTGTGGGGTAAAGCTAGTAGAGGGCCAAGCGAGGACTCCTCCGCCCTTGTCTGTCCCAAGGTCGCGAGATGTTGAGTCAGGTCGGAAGAGGGGCGGGGGAATGAACCGACCTGAAGGCCACAGAAAATGCGAAGGGAAGGGCGAAAAAAGAACAGCAACAGGCGCCACGGGAAGGCCTCGACGGCCCGTCGGGAAGCCGCCGGCCCGTCCTCAGACACGGTGGGATGCTCGATTTTTTTCGGTTGGGAGGGGCCCCCAACCGGAGAAAATGGAGCGCCCCACCGTGTCTGAGGACAAACCGGCGGCTTCCTGGCGGGCCGCGAGGCCTTCCCGGCCGGTGCGCCTGTACGTAGCTGTATGGCCTGCCACATAGCGGCCCCTTCCCCTTGTCCCTTTCCTCGCATGTCGTCGTTTTCATGTTGATCGAAGGAAGGCTCCTGGTAAACACAAACAAAAGTCTTTTGTACGGGGTGGGGAGTCAAGCAGCTTATAATGTTGATGAACGCCTTCGCCTATCCTGCAGTCACCTCCATTTCGGTGGTGACTTTTCCCTTCTTCACGCTGGCGGCCAAGAAAGAGATCAGCGCGGCCTTCAGTAGTAAAATCAAACAACGCCTCGACCTCCCGAAGAATACTAGCAATGCCGTCCTCTTCCACACTACCGGCCTCGCCCCTCCCATCGACTACATGCTGGTGGACGCGTTGATGGTGTTCTTCAAGGGCGCGGCGCAGCAGCTATGGAGCCTCCACCTCAGCAGTGACAACATCCCGAGCTTCCGGCCGGCCGTAGGACTTGTTGCAGCCGCCGGCCCTCTTCCTCCCACGCCGGCGCCGCTGTGCAGCAGTAGCAGCAGCAACAGTAGTAACGCTGTATCCCTCCCCACCCCGCCGCGGAATGATGTCGCAGTTGGCGAAAGCGCCCCCAGCAGCAGTAGCAGTAGCAAACGTCCACCTGCGCCACAGGTAAGCAGCAGTAGCAGTAGTAGTTCCCTTCTCCTGTCCTCCCTGCCGCAGGCCGGTATGTCAAGCAGCAGTAGCAGCTCCCACCACCTCTCCGTACCGCCAGCTGCAGATAGATCCGGCAGTAATGAGTCAGATAGTGTCAGGGCGTCGGCGCTCCGTCCTCATCCTCCGGCGCCCCCGGGAGAAGCAACCTCAGCAGCAGTAGGCAGTAAAAGTAGCAGTAGCAGTAGTGCCGCGCGTCCTCCCTCTCCTCCACCCACC